GAAAAGTTTTATTCGCGAATGAATTTGCCCGAGTCAGTAAAAGCATGCGAGCGAGTCTCTGGAGGTTCGTAATCATTATTATTTGTTTCGTTGGTTTGGTACTTTTGGTTCGGTAGCTTAGTTCTATTATTAATCTTTTCTTGCTCTCGCACGCTTGGTTGGGTTTACCGCTTACGCGCGCCTTCCCCCTCTCTATCTTTCTAGCTCCCGAAAAAACGGAAATAAGCAGGTCGCTCGCGACAAGGTTATTAGATTTTCGATATATCTAGCGCTGAAATGTGACATTCACCATCCACAAGCGGAGATAACCGTACTAATGAGCTTAAATATACATTCCATGTATGTGGCGCGAGCGCGGAAATGAAAATAAATGCAAATGATGGCATAAATTTGGGGCTTGCTTTGTTTGACATAGCATGGTACTCACATTTTTTGTCGATTCTTTTTTCTTTTCTGCCAAAACAATAGAACAACAATCTCTTGTTGGCAGTGGGAAAATATTTTTTGTGTGTGTTTGTGTATGTGTTGAGGCTTTAAATTACCCCCTAGAAACCATTATGCTGATTCATTCATTCGATTTCACTCGGATTGAGAGTATGAGCGAGAAGAAAAGCTCATCCAAATCCGTTCAATATCCGATCCGTGAATAGAAATCGATTTGAATTGAATTCGATAATAGGCAGTGGCACACAGTGAGAAGGAGAGAGAAAGAGGAAGAAACACACTCTCTCATACACACATTTTATTGCAGCGCGCATTCTGAAATGAATAGCGCTCATTTGATACCAGCATAATAAATTGGCCTGAATCGGGCGCTTTTTCTGTCATTCTCTTCTTCACTCTCGTTCTCTTTGTGTCTGTGAAATCTTTTTTTTAAGTCTTTGCATCAGTTTTGTCGATTTTCTGCACATTCTCCTTCTCTCATTTCAACATAAATTGTTTCCCGTTCAGTTTTTTTTATGATAGAAATAATTTTGCATTTAGCTTAAGACCGTCGAACAGAAGTGAAAAAAGTGATCCGACAATTATTTGTTACAATAGATAGTTTTTTTGGGACAAAATCCGAATACATATACATACATATTATAATACTATATTGGCAAAATTGGTTTTCAATGGGATTTAGTTCCGTGCATCGATCGATATAGTCGTTGGCTAGCTGCTCTACATAAACATTTGTACCTATCCACACGAACACAAATTTGATTATTTTTTCACTCTGTTCATCCATTTTGTTTGTTTTTGAGCCAACAAAAGCAACCTCATCATTAGACGGCGCAATTTTTGTCAAGATCCAATGGAATCTGCGAACACAGTTCGAAATTCGTTTGTTGTACGAGTTGTTGGGAAAATTGCTTAGAATGACAGAAAACTATAACAGCCTACCACTAGGATCTCGTGTGAGAGAGCCTATAATGTCGTCTCTTCACGTAGCATACAGATGCGGGCACGGTGTGAGGTTGTTTTTTTTTTCCTTCTCTCGAGCAAATGAAAATTCAAGACGTTGCGATAAAAATGTGCGTGAATAATATTTATGTGTTACTGTGAGACGTATAACGGTTAGTACTTCGACATTTCGAGCAGTCATAATAAACCATTTTCCGATGCTGATGTTCCTTATGCGATGTCTGTGTAGCCCGGTACACATACACGCACACAGAGTGTGCTGAATCAAATATTCAAAGCGTCGAACCCATAAAAGTAATACTATGAAAGCGAACGAAAGAGCTTTGTGTTACGGCAACGTGGGACCAACTAGAGTAGAGTGCGGGAAAATTATTTTATTGTACACAGATGAAAAAACGGTTGGACAAAGAAGCAATGAGCTGGAGGTAAACACATAACAACCGAGCAAAAGGGCAAAACTAAACGAACAGAAATGAGAAAGAGAGAGCGAAAAAAGCAGAGAAATCAAAGGCAGCCTAAGAAAATGGCAAACAAAATGGTTTCCCATTGACTTTAATGCATTCTCCTTAACAGTTTTTTGAGTTTTGATTACAGGATCAAAAGTTATCAAATAATGTTCGCGTGTATGTATGTACTGCAAAATGGCCCAGCGAAATGAAACGGAATAACAAAAAAGGATATAAAAAAAGTTTGAAATAAAAAAAGAACACAAGAAAGCCCTGTTTCATTTCTTGTTCTTCATCGATTTTGAGTCCGCATAAGAACACTACAAAGCAACACAAATAGTATAAATAGAAGGGAAAAAAGCAACTATAAAACTGGCATACGCACATGCTGTAAATGATTTGTGAAGCTGTGTAGTGGCCGCCGCCGCAACCATCACTACCACCGATGTTGTTGTCGTCGTCATCGACGACGTCGAGTGGATAAAGCCAAAGTATGCAGTAAATGATGAAAAACGAAGTCGATAATACTGGCGAGTGGTGGAAAAAAATTGTTCATTTATTTTATTTTTATGATTCGGATTGCCCTACGCCATACATTCCTTCTAGTTTTTGCAGCTGTGGTTCTCAAGTTTTCGAGCATTGTTTGTGTGTTATCAGCTCTTTTTTTTCGCAAAGCATTGGGTGCTCATAACGAAACAACTGTTTGGGCATGAGTGGCAGCAGCAACAAACCAAACCAACAGAGAAAAAAATGAAATAAAAATATGCGAGCATTTTCATCGAATCGAAAAGTGGGACGACTCATAAAAAATATTATTGAGATTTGCATGACGGTGGCTTAAAAACGATATCGACAAATGTTCCACTCATATCAGACATCCTAAGTACACACGCTGTTTCGTCTTTTTTCGGATGTGGGAAAGCATTGCTGGTCGAGGTGAAAGCAATAGAATGAGAGTGAACAAAAGCGGGAGAGTGAGCTAGAGAGAGTCATTGAAAAAAATCCCAAAATATTTATTGATAAAATGTGTACACCAACCATCGCTCTTATGATCACATCAACAATGTAACAGCTGAAGCATTGACAGATATCTGTGAGTGAAATGCGTTATCGATGGGGCGATCATTGATAGAATGTGACCCAACAAATTGTATGTGTGTGTTGTTGTTTTTTGGTTCCTTTATTTTTATTTAGTAACTGTCACTGTCGAACCAATAATAATATTCCAACGATAACATTTTGTATGGGATTTTGGGCATTTTTTTACTCGCTTTATTCTTCTGGTCGTGGCTTCGCCGAAAATTCCAACATTTTGGATAAGCAGCAGGGGAAGGGGACGGCTGCCGACAACGACGACGACGACAACGATATTAATAGCAAACATAGCATAGTAAAATGGCTCCGGAGTTGAGCAATTTTCGAGAACCAAGCATAACACTGCCGACGTCATTGGCCATGTATGAATACGATTGATATGTATGTGACTGGCACATATAGACATAGGCAACAACATCATCATACAGATAACTTGAACCAAATTGAGAGAAATGTATACAGAACGAGAACCAAAACGGGACTTAATATATGTGGAAAAAGCATCGAGCGAAAAGCAAGAGAGAAATAGATGCGAGAGAAAGAAGAAAAAGAAAACACAACCATACAGAAAGAGAAATATTCTAATCAATTGAATTGATTATGATGTTGTTGTTGCCAATTTCATTTCATTCTTCGGGATGGAGTTAAAGTTGTTTGCTGGTTATTCGAGAGTGAGAAAGCGGCAAAGTTCAGCAGCGCCAGCAAAAGCAGCAGCAGTTGATGATACATTGGAATAGCAGCAGCACTAGCAGTAGCAGCATCGACAACAGTGGCTGTGGCAGATTGGTCTATCCGTGCTGTATCCACTACATGTACGCGCGCGGGAATGAATGTGGTTTGGATCGATTTGTTAGGTTCTACATGCTTTAGCACACTTTATATATGCGTATGTGCACAACACACCAACATAATGTTGTGTGTGACCCGAGATTTTTACTTTTCTCTCGCATCCTAAGTCACTGTTATGCTTTGCTTTGCTTTGATTCGCATATAGAGCGAATCCGAAAAGCAGTGATGAAGAAAATAGAAAAATTTTGCAGGAATGACGACGCGAACAAGGAGCGAATAAGGAGAGCAAAAAAATGAAAAAGAACACACGAAGAATTCGTTTAAAATAAATTGAGACAATTCATTAAGTTCAAAACCATACCAAAAATCCGGGAGATATTGTTTGCATCATTTTCCCTTTTCTTTCTCTCTCTCTCTCTCGGTCGTTGTTCGTATGTACACAGTTGTGTCGTTTGCCCCGTTCGGTTTATGTATCCAACATTATTTTTGATGGGTTTTTGTTCTGTGTGCATTTTATGCAACAAATATAGTGAAATTTACGGCATTTTAGAATAAATCGGAATGTTTTTATGTTTCATTTGTCGTTGTTTTTTTTCTCTGCTCTTGCTCCCTTTTTCCTTTCGACTTTTGCTCGAGTGGATGTTCTTTCTTTTGGAGTATACATTTTTCGTAGACTATGATTCGTAGTTCAACGGGCATGTGAGTACGGGTTCGGTCTTTATTTCTTTTCGCAGCGACAATATCTGTTTGTGACAGCGAAATTATCAACGATTTGCATTTCAATAAGAAAAATAAGGGAGAAGAACCCGAACAGCAGCTCACACGTTTGGGAATCGCAGCGAATTGATTTTGATTCGCGATTTAAGAGCACGACTGACGACTTCATTCTCCGATTGTGTCATTTGATTGATAAAATTCAGCCAAAATCACGATGGCTTTCCAATCTCTCAAAATGTCATTTCCATTTTGATTTGCATGGCAAAAGTGAATAGATGCACAATCAGCAAACACCCTTTCCTCCCTATCTCGAAAAAAAAACTCACTCAGACATTTATGCGCCATTCTCTATTTCTAACTCGAAGAACGAACAACAAAAAAAGATGAAGGAAAATGTTTCACTTTACACCGAAAAATTGTTTTCGCTTGTCGTGCGAAAAGTTTCGTGCGGAAAATGTCGGTCGTAAATTTACGGTGCGCTAAATGGCTAGCGGTAGTAGAGATAATGAATTGAGTTTGAATATTGAAAGCTTCCATTACACTTACATGGGGCTCTGGCTGTTCATATAAATCGAATGAAATCGTACCACACACGCACACGAGAGAAGACAAAAAAAACACCGTTAACACGGACACGTCAAAAGTCAAACACACCAAATAAATGGTACACACCACACACTGCACGATAAAGAACAACCAACAATTCTATTTTATTTTTCTCTTTACACTGAATTTTCCCTCTCTCTTCGTTCGGTTTAAATTGATTTAACGACAACAAGAGAAAAAAAGTTTTATTTTGTTGCGATTCGAGACGGGAGTCCTGTTTGTGTTGTTTTTATTTATTTTTTTTTCTCTCGCTGTTTCTATGTCGTTTGTCAAGCAAAAAAATCTCTTCTCACTAGCACAGTGCGAAAACAAAATAAACCAGCACGCACTCAATTCGAATGTGTTGTGTATGCGATATCAAGATGTGAATCCGTAAACAGAGATGACCGTTCACATGAAAATCTCTCACAATACTGACTGAATTGTGCGAGCGATGGATGAGGCTGTGGCAATCGGCTCCATCATGGAAACGAATCTCTCACTGGAAGTATCCATTTTCCCACCGTACACAAACACTTGCACGCACACGAACACGCGTACGTACAAGACACACTGCGATTGAACGGCGCGACACAGAATTTATGGAAATGTTGGATCGAATGGTGTGCGCGCGTTCTCTGTTTATAACCACTACCAACGTAATGTGTGTTGCTACTGATAACATGACACATTGGGAAGACGAAAGCCGAACAAGAACGTTTTAACCATCATTTCGAGTTTGAGGCAGAGAAGAAGAAGAGAAAAACAACACCATAAAAATTTTCCGCTTTACATGTGTGAACAGTCTCAATCCACTTCACTCTCTCTCTCTCTCTCTCTCTCTCTCTCTCTCTCTC